TGGAGAACGCCGTTCGTGTTGGAGCACAAGCGCAGTTTTTTTCGTCCGGTGCCTGACTTTTAACAAAAATCGAATACCATTAAAATACTCATTCATCATATTCACCGATATCTATCGTCTATACCTTCTCTCTCTCTCTCTCTCTCTCTCTCTTTCTCGTCCTATATATACATTCTTACCCGTTAAAGATCCGACAAAAAACACAAGCAAAGTTACGTTCTCTCGATAATAATAGCCTGCCGCGACAACAGGTAGTGCACACAGATGATTAAGAGATATCTTTTATTCGCCATTATTATCTCCAATTTTTTCGATTGCTCTCTCTCTCTCTCTCTCTCTCTCTCTCTTGTTTAGATGAAATTGACTTAAAAAAGGAAAATACATATTTTTCAAACGAACCTGATATCATGTCTTTAGAAAGCAATATTGTTAGATAGAACGCTTTGAGGGGAAACCGAGCAGAGATATAAAACCGTTACTTCTGCAATATGGTAGGTTGCGCATCGTAACAGGAAATGCGACACGACAAAGCACGCTTAGTCGTCTTATATAAGCCCGGGAACTTTCTTTAAGGTCGCGTATACATATTATCCGTTTCGCGCGACATAATGACTTCATGATCGACGCGTGTGTATATATATATATATATATATATATTCACATACATATATATTCGTGAAATATACGCAATATATATAATATATAAATGCGACGCGGTAGTTTTACACGCGCGAAACAGGCAACGCGTAATTTTGTGCGATGTTTTGGCGTAAATATTGGTCTCACTCACCTGCGAGAACGATCCGTTATCGCGCCGGCGTTCGTGCTCAACGACGGTCTCACTTTTCTCACGGAAAAATCACACGTTTTTCACACACGCAAGACCACATCTCGTATAATCACAGCGTTCTTATTGAAAATGCGCCTCGGATTGAAGGACAGAGGCGGCTAAATCAGGCTAAATAGGGCATCCGGTGACAACAGCGGTCGCTTCTCGGACGGCTTCAAAGATGGCGCGCATCGGCGTGATGGAGATGCGTATTAAATGTACAAACACTCGACACGTATACACATATATCGCGCACCTAATTTATGATTCTTTACCTTCCTGACGATACTATCGTTATCATTGCATAGCGGGAATGATCCCAACAATACTGTAATGTCGAAACTGGTGCTCTAACTCGGTGACTAGCGATACGATACCGATAAAAAATGCGATTTCGACACGTCGTAACGCGTATACCCGGATCGATATAACTCTGCTACTTTTCCTTCCTAACCAATCAGACAGTTTCTTTAAGGTAGCTTTTCAATGACTTTACTAACGCGAAAGAAAGTTTGAATATCAGCATATAGAAAAAACAGAAATGGAAAAGAAATTATGAATATAAAAAATATTATCTTATAAATCATAATTAAATATCACGATTACAATTATAAATATAAAAATTTTATTTTTGCTTATTATTGTGAGAATTATGTATACATATTATGTTACATATTGTTTTATATATGTATATTTATAGATAACAATTTTAAGAAGCAGAGAGCGAAAGAGCGCCAAACACGTAATTTTTAAATTTTTAAAAAACAAACTTAAGGAAGCATAGTAGATAAATATATATATTGCGAATGCGATGTAAGTTAATGTATATTTATAAAGAAATATAATGTAAAGAAAAACTTATATATATTTTTTTCTATATTACATTAGCTGATGTAATAAAAATGTAAGCGGATACAAAAATGAGCGAGTCGTTATAATAGAATGGTCAGAAACAAAAAGCGTTAAATTTAATTATCAGAAATAATTATCTATTAATTAACTGAAAAAATATAAGCATTGAAATTTAAAATTGTGCGAGAGCGGCTGCTTCATCATTGACTCTCCCCGTCGCTCGAATATCACGTCTAGCAGCAAGTGTCGCCTTTGTTTCCTCGTAAAGGGTTTTACCAATCTTCCTCATTTCAGAAAGCCATTCCTTTCTGTTCTTGAACCACTCCGTATTCCAGATCCCTGGACCCTGTATCTGCTCTAATACCCCAGCAAAAATGCCTGCTAAGGGCAACATGTCTTTAGGAGACAATCCCCGGAGGTAACCATCATTAATAATTCTTGCTCAATTGTAACCAAATTGACGTGAATCCTTGTCTAAGTATATAGTTAAAAAGTTTCGAATGGTGTCCCACGATGATGCTGTTTCTTTGAAGTAGGATTTTTTATATAGAGAAAGCCAATCTAGCTGGGTTGCATGCATGGTTTGCTCAAGAAGTTGCAGCATTCCTAGCCCATTCTTGGCAGTGTGAGTTAGAACTGAAGCATTTAAATATCCTGCAGAATAAGGATCACGATAATCAGCTTTTTGAGAAAGTACATATTCTGAAGCTAACAAGATATACATTTTGGAAGTAGTAGGGAGTCCTTTTCGTAATGATCCAATGCATATTTCTATACAACGTTCACAAGAAGGAGAAAAAGGAAGCTCATTAGCCCACCAAAGTCGTGTAAATCTAACCGGTACTGTCGTTTAAGAAATGCATTGCTCAGTTGATTCTTATTTTTAGTTGCTGCTCTCCAAAGGGTTAACGCTATAAATCCTGTCATTTGCACCAATTTGAATTCTCTAGGAGTATCCGCATCAACAATGAGACCAATATCTTCATCTATTTTCTTTTTAAATGCATTAGCATCCTTCACTGAGAACAAAGCAGTTGGGGTACTGCCATTTACATCATAAAACGGCACAGCTGAGTAGACATCATCTGGCCAAAGACGTCCTTGTGGAGTGGAGGATAAACCAACAGCCTCAGCAACAATAGCTGCCACGTTATCCTTTTCATTGACAATACCATGAAAATAGAAGTCATAAAATCTAATTAAGATTGTCTTTAAGCTTCCATGATTGAGAATATTATTATTAAACTTGACCCCATCCCTCAGTGTCATGAGAAGAGTATCATTCCACCCCTCAATCCTGGGAGTTCCTCCTATTCAAGGTATCTCTTCTAATAAATTCGCTCTCTTTATTTCCTCAAGATCTTGTGTGAGCATTGCGTGGAGCGTTGCCTGATCCATGATATCCAATCCAAAAGGAAAAGTAGATGGTGCACGTAAGTTTTTCTTCTTTATTCCTTTCCTTAATTGAAAAAATATATAAACCTTTAGTGTTAAAAATCCATTTCTATTCTATATTTTGTATAATGTTAATCTTTTCGTAGTATATCTAATCACTCAATAAAAACTTTGTCAAGAAAATTAATTTTTCTTATTTCCTTACATGTAAATTTACAATTAAATTAAATTTTATTGACTATACACATAAAAAGAGATATAT